TGGGGAAATGTGCCTAAATGGGGTCAATACCCAGTCTGTGGAATCCACCCTGCTAGCTGCATGTTTGGATGACACTCAAAAGAGCCCTTCGGGAATTTGGCAACCCCTCCCTTCCTACGCTTCTGTCTGGCATCCTGGGCTGAAAGACCTACATTGTCAAGCGGATGTGGGGGGTTGACCAAAAGGTCCGCATGGGGTTATCATGTGGGAAACCCAAAAACAATTCGGAAGAGTGCCTATAGGGTTGCAGCAGATGGGGTTACAGTTGCATCGGTTTTTCTCCACACAAGGGCTTCCAATCAGGCCCCCCCCAGCTCACAGACTGAAGCAAGAGCCACATTATACATTTGGCCATGATTTGTTTAAATGTGGTAATAACCCAGCAGGGGCTTGCGCATATCAGGCCCCTTAGCCCCCTTGTGAATGATGTCCAGCAAGGGCTTCTCACCAAAGCCCACACCCATCAATGCGACTGGCTCAAACGCTCAGTTGTGCTTACCGGCGGCGTCGGTAAGCGCAACCACAGAATAGACAGCGCGCCCAGGGGCTGAGTATGTGCTCCCGACGGCTTGGCTGTGCTTACGGGCGCCGTCGGTAAGCGCAACTGCCTGCTCTTACATGAAACCCGTCATCCATGCTCCGGCCTCTTCGACAAATGGGCCCACGGTGTGTGCGGCAAAATGCCTGCGCTTTTAAAGCTCTGGTGTTAGCGCAGCCCAGGGGCACACACACACACAGAAGTGGGCAGGGCTGATTGGAGGGCAGGGCTTTGTGTTTTTGCAACTCGCCTACAACCCCATCCAGTACAACCCTATAGGACCTTTTCCCAAAAAACATGACTTCACCACTAAACGGAAAAGGTTTCCCAGTGGCTCAGAATTCGCTCGGGAAGGTGCGAACAGGGCATGCAGCCATGTCATATCTTCAGGAATACCGGTGTATCCGCCTTCTGCGGGTCAGTTGCCATCAGATCTTCTTTTTTGATGGTATCCTTTCTTTTTTGAAGGGAAGCCACCAGGACTTGTAAACCATGTTCGGGTTGGGCCATTTTAGAAACAACCGCGCCAAGATGTTGCTGGAACGCGGAGACGGTTCCCGTGTGATATCCTTGACGCGACTGACAAATAAGTCCAGTTCGCTGGCTCTTGTCTCCACGGTATTGGCATGTCACATGCGGTAACCCCCCCCTCAAACCACTACCCCAGCGCAGCACGGGGTGACCGGGTGTGTGCCCTGTAGATTGTGGCCATTGGAAGCATAGGTGTCCTTTTTGGTTGATTTGCTTGAAACATAGAGCGCCCTTTACGAGGTTCAATCAAGTACCGGGGCCATCTATTTTCTCAAAAAGGACACCTATGGCGGTAACCCCATAGAATATGACTGCTCTATCATGATGATTTGGAAGGATGCTACAAGTATGCCTATGCAATGACTCTGAACAGACAGCAACTTTGCCCGCGCCTCCCAGAAAGAAAAATGCTGTTCACCGCTCTAAGATGCTACGCACACAGACACGCACACACGCGCATGTTTGTTTCAGACTTGCACTTCTACAGGCGCGAGCGTTTGTGAATTCGTAACAACAAGCACACTTTTTTAATGGAGCATTGGTGACCATGATGTGTGGATATTTAGATACGTAGACCCATGCATGTGTGTGCGCGTGTGCAGTGTGTTTTTTCTGGGTGGATGCTCCTCACAGGTGCGAACTGCCCAGCCTTCGATGGCGGAGAAGGCGTTCGGCGGAAGTTGGCCTCGTCGTGCCAAAGATGGCCCTTTTCTTGATCTTCCGTTTGCTTCGGGATATGTTTTATTCCTCTTGTTGGTTTTTCAGGGAATCTATCACTACTGGAGATTTTTTCCAGGGAGCTTAAGCAAACGGAAGTGATTGCACTTTGGTTTGACTTTTACGCGCTCACGTTTTGAGGAAATGAACATGATCGGTTCCGCACCACTTGGCGAGAAGTCAATCTTTGAGATTCAAAGACCAAGCCAATTCGGGCTTATCGTTTCTTGTTCTGGTCCAGCTTGCGTGAAACTTGGATGGTGCGGTTGTGAACAGGACAGACTGTTTTCGCTTTGGCTTTGCCAGAGAGTCTTCCAGCTGCAAGGCAATGGTACCCAGCTAAGATATTTTCCTGCCCCCCCCCCCCAAACCACTACCCCAGAGCAACACGGGGTGACCGGGTGTGTGCCCTGTAGATTGTGGCCATATCTTGGAAGCATAGGTGTCCTTTTTTTGTTGGCTTGTTTTAAAAAATAGAGGGCCCTGGTTTACCTAGTGGTTCAATGATCTACCAGGGAAACCCATCTTTTTTTCAATAAAGGACACCTATGCTCGGAAGGATCTCCTATTCAAGCCGTGGGGGCAGTTCGGGGGCCGACACCTTTTAGACCCCGGTGTTTTCTTCTGCATGGAGACTGGCCCTGTAGATGGATATATATATATATACATATATTTGCACTACTTTGAAACCATGGTTGAAACCATTGTTTGTGGGCAGTTACAGCGGAATCCTCATTCCAGGGGTCTTAGATGGTGCGAAATGGATTTCGCAACCATCCACAGTACTACTTCGACTTGATATCCACTCGAGCAGCTGGAGACCCCTTGGCTTGGTAAACAAGAGCCAGTCGATTTGGGCGTAGCAATGGTCGTGATGCATTTCGTGCAGTTCGAGGGGTTGATTCCCCATTCTTTTCAACCATCCTTCTTTCCAAACACCCTCCGTTTTCCCTGGGTGTCCGGAGGTTTTCCAGAAAGAAGGATAATGGAGTAGGTACCCCTAGAGCAGTAGGGCAGTAGGGAGGTTGGATATTCATCCTAAGTTGTTGAATAAGGGAGCCATGACCGCGACTCACAAGGATTCCAATCATGGCCCAGATGGGCTCACCTCCAAAGTTTTTTTTTGCAGGCATGGGTGGTTTGTTTTTTTTGGTTTCCCTATCAAACAGCCACAACAAAATGGTAAACCTTTGAGAAGTTCGGTCTGTGGTCATCAAAGTCGGAGTTGCCGAGTTGTTGTTCCTTTACACCTTGCCTGATATGGAGTGACGGGATTTGAAGCCGAGCTCTCTCTCACATCCCGATGCCGTCCAGTCGAGACTTGGCCATGGGTGTGCCCAAGAGAAAACCCAAGCAGCCCGCCCATGTTCACTTGCGGGCAATTTCCTGGATGTTTTCTGACAGACATGGGCTCAAGGTGTTTAAATGCTTTTTTGTACCTTTCCCGTTCTTTCCAGGGATCTGTTTCGAGCCCGTTTGAAGCGAAGAAGCCAGGCTGAAATGCCGCGGAAGCAAGGCGAGCAGGCCGGGTGTTTCAGGCGTGCGAGATGTGTTCTTGTGGCTTGGAAGATCCAGAGTCACAATGAAAACTTGGGCAAGTGAAGGTTAACAGACATTCCCATGCATGGTTCTTTGTGTAGCGGCTTTACCAAATTGATACCTAGTCCTGATAGTGGCTCAAGCATAGGAACCATTGATGGCTCTACTTCCTTCTGTGCTGGCCATTTCTGAACTTTTTTTGACATGCAACCCTGCTACTTTTTGTCGTCCAGGTTTGATCTATGGCAACTGGTCCGAAGTGGATTTGAGTATGTCTCTTTTTGAGGGTACCCCATGTTTGTGCTTTGAAAGATAAAATCAAAAGGACGGCCACCATTTCAGCAGGTCCCCTGTAAAAGAAAGACACACATTTTTCATCCATGGTACCCCCCCACCCCGTCAACTCTGCTTAGGGAGGCAGTTCCCGCGCCAGGAAGCACGCCATCTGCGCAGGGAAGCGGTGCGGCCCTTCCCATGGGAGGGCGCGGAACCGATTTGCCCCAACGTTCAGTTTGGGTTTCCCTTTAAAGCTACCCCAAACAGGGTCCTCGAAACAATCACTCACGCACAACCACACACATACAAACACACCCACACACTTACACGCACACATATACACACACACACGAACACACACACACATACACACACAATCACACACACACACACACACATCACACACAAACACACATACAAACACACACGCGCACAATATCGCGCACACACACACAAACACACACGTACACGCACTTACACACACGTACACATACACACCCACACACCCACACACACCCACACACACCCACACACACACACACCCACACACAAACACACGCACACACACACAAACACACGCACAAACACACACACACACACAAGCACACACCCACAAACACACACACACACACCCACACACACCCACACACACCCACACACACACCCACACACAAACACACGCACACACACACACACACACGCACAAACACACACACACAAGCACACACACACAAACACACACACACACACAGACACAGACACACACACACCACACACACACACACCACATACACACAAACACACACGTACACACACGTACACACACGTACACACACGTACACACACGTACACACACGTACACAAACACGCACACACACACACACAGACACACAGACACACACAGACACACACAGACACACACAGACACAGCCAAACACAGCCAAACAGATATACAAACACCAACACACACAAACACATACAAACACAGACGCAAACACGCACGCTGATACACATACACATGCAAAAAACACAAACGCACACAAGCGCAACGCAGCGCAACGCAACACAACAAGCAAGCAAACAAACCAACACACAAACACAAACACTTGCAAACACATACATACATACGTACGTACGCACATACGTACGTACATACATACATACATAAATACACACATACATACATACATACATACATACATACATACATACATACATACATACATACATACATACATACATACATACATACATACATACATACATACAGGCACGTCCTTTAAATGACCTTGGCGCCTCAATGTTTGCGAAGAATCAGCCGCAGGTTGCGCATCCAACACCAAAACCACCCGCAACTTTCAGAATCAACTCCATGCAAGCAACACAGGAATATGAACAAATCGATTGGATGCGCTTTTCGCTTTTCGCCATGGCCCGCCTTGCCGGCGCCTTGCTGGTTTTGGCCTTGCCCCTGGCCTTCCTCCAGCCGATCACGCGCGGACCCGATGGCCGCGGGCTGATCGCGCGGAGGGCGCTGCCTGGCAGGGCCAAGCTGCCGATCTTCGGCGACACGCTGGAGCTCTTGAAGCCCGTGACTCGGCGAGGGGCTGTGGTGGCTTATGACTGAGCCCCAGAAACCACGGGTGGCGTTCCTTGGGTTTCCCCGCAAAACCACCTGTTTGTTTGGTAAGACCACAAACAGCAGGGTAAACCACAAACAGAGATTTAGCATGTTTGGCTCCAACAAAAAGGGTGGCTTTCCTTGGTTTTCCCCAAGCAGCAGGGTAAACCGCAGAGTTCTGAGTATGTTCCATGATTTTTCTTTCGGTGGTTTCCCTACAACTTGTTTTTCTTCCTGGTATTTTTGTGGTTTTCCCACCAAAAAATGGCTTTCCGTGAGTTTCCTCGTAACACCCCCCCGTTATGTCAACGCCTTGAGATTTGAGGGATGGCTGTCAAACAAGCCTTCAAAAGGAGATGTAAAGAAGCAGTTGCAAGACCCCCTATCAAGAAACTATAACCGTTCCTTGCTGACACTGTGACATATTTGAGCACATTCAATATTCATCACAATCGGTTGTTGAAAAAGGGCACGTGCGGACACTTCAAATCACAACTTCAAGGATCTGCTAGATGGGTTTTGTTGGCATGTCGGAGGGATCTGCTGAATCCTGGATCATGGACAAGAACACTCGTTCCCCCCTCGTTCCTTCCCCTGCCTTGCAATTAGGAACGCACCCGGACTAAGTCTGAACTGAACCGTAGCACTTCAACGAAATCCCCTTTTTTTCCAATTGGCCCAACCCTGGCAAATCTTGGGATGGGGGGTATATGCCCCTTTTTGGTAGGTGTTAAAGGGAACCCAAAGGACAACCAACATGTTGGGTCCCCCAAAAACCAGACAACCGCATCTTGGTTCACCTTCCATTTCCTTCGGCCCCCATTTTTTTTAAAGAAAAAATCTTCGAAAGTGGGGCTCAGGAGAACATGGCCCAGTATCAGCTGGACCGCCGCGAGCGCTGGGGCGGCTTCTGGAAGACCTCGGTGCTCTTCAAGCGCGCCGTGGTGGCGGCCCGGCGGAACCGAGCCGCCGGAAGCCGACCTCGGTGGGTCAAAAATTGGGGCGGCTCGGGCGGGGCCAGGGGCCTTTGGCGCATTTTGCCAAGGGATGATGGGACTTGGACTTCTTGCCAACTGGTGGGTTTTGGGTGCTTTTTTTTTTTTGCCAAGGGATGATGGGACTTGGACTTTTGGCCAAGTGGGTTTTCCGTACTAAACCCACTAAAGGTTAAAAGCTTTTGGCAGGGGAGCGGAAAGCAACAGAGGCTCGGTTGGGGAAGGTCGGTCCTTCAGACGAGTCACCGGGGGGAGGTTGAAATGGCGCTTGAAAACTGGGGAAGTTTTGCTGGGCGCACAGGTCACCGCTTCACCCAGGGCTGCCGCATTTTGAGGAGTCGTGGCCCCTGGTCTCTCGAATGCACTGCCTCAACTCCAGAACACAGCCAAACCAACTATGACCACATGGCCGTGGGTCAAAACCAATGGGATCCCATTTTGGGGTAGATGCATTGCCCATTTAGTCTTTTTAGTGGGGATTGGGATGGTCACGGGCTTTTGACCCATGAACACATAGCATCCGAAGGTTCAGAGGCGATTGAGCCGATTGATGAACTTGGGGTCACTAACCACAGCCACCGCCAACACCTTCGGCTAGTGTCCAAGGTCTCAAACACGAGGTACCGATACACGATGTTGTCTACTGTATACCATACCTGGACACTGAAACTACCCATAAGAATGGGGTTATTGCCCCAACGTTGTGGGGTGAATTCCCTTTTTGATGGGTAGTTTGAGGGTCCAGGTACCCAACTTCCATTCAATTGAAGGGAAACACAACTACCACTCACCTGGCATGACATAAATGGGGTGTATATCACACACAGCCAGAGTCTTGGGCCAGTTCTCTGCTGCTTTTGCGGGTAGTCTTAGCTTTCTGAAAAATGGCCTGCCTGGTTCCTTGAAGTCTGAAGTTTGATGCGTCCCGCTTCGAACCCTCGTGGTTCCGAGCAAACTTGAGATGATGGCCTTTTGTGTATTGCTATTGCTTGTCAGTAGAGGAGGGGCAAGCCAGGACCAATTGCGCGAGAACATGTATGGCGTGCTTGGAGCGTTTTCTGCTTTTCGTTTGCCTGTCGTGTTTGCTTGTGCACCTGGCTGGTAAGACCTGGAGTCCAATCCAATCAGAAGCCTCGCATGGTCATTTTGTTTGTTTCCCCTTGAATTTCGCCCACAAGGAGCCAAGGAGGTTCGCTTTGAGAAATTGCCGGTTGAGCTTGCTCAGTCCTGGGCTGCGTGTCTGAGGTTGTTGGTGCCAAGCAGATGGCCGAGGCGATGAAACAGGAGGCGCGGCCTGGTACCATGGAGGCGCGCTCGTGGTGGTGGTTGGGGGGGGGGAGTTTTGGGTGGGGGCTGGGAGGTTTTTGGTTGGAGGGGTGGCGAAGTTTTTTTTTTGTGGGGGAGGACTGGGGGGTTTTGGCTGCGGAGTTTTTTTTTGTTTAAGAACAGGAGTGGCGGGCAAATCGCCAATCGCCATTCCGGGCGGTGAACGCCTCTCCAACTTAGCCAAGGCCGAGGGGCTTCCAAGAACTGGAGGGTTCTGAAGGTTTCAAGCGCCGAGGGCGGTCACCCAAGAATCATGCAGAAACTGTAGAAACCCTCTGGAGGGTCGAGACGAGGGGAAGGGAATCAGTCCCAACAAGTGTTGCCCGCTTGTCCCTTCGTTGTGGTAGGCGTCAAACATGGGACGACCCGGAAAATGGTGGGGTGTCCTTTTGGTGTCCCTTTGATCCAAGCTGAAAAGGGTACGCTCCAAACAACGCCAAGCCATGCACGAAACGAGAAGCCACGGCAAACCACTGCCGTTTCGCCAACTTGTCGGACCCAACCACCACGAGAACTTCGGGCCGAAAAAATCGCTCCATCGGTTCCCGAGGCCTTCTTCCCGCCGCACCACCAGCGCCTCTTCGGTGTGAACTCGATCCTCATGGTGAGCGGCGCCTCCCATCTGCGGCTGCGGAATCTCATCCAAAAGGCGCTGACGCCCAAAGCCATCCAGCGCTACCAGGAGAACTCCCGAGGTCTTGCAAGGTTTTTTGGGAAGGTCCTGGGGTGGTTGTGGTGAAGGGCAAGGAAGGGACACCATGGTTTTGTGTCTTCTTTGTTCTTGGGCTGTTGGGAACATGAGTGATAAACCACCACCCCCCCAAGCAAGGTCGAGAAGGTGTTGGAAAATCGGATTTTGGAGGTCGCCTGGCCCCCTCGGATTAGTCTGGACCTGGCCAGTCCTCTCTAGTCCTTTCCTGGACCCCTGTCTGGCCACCAAGACTGCAATGGGAAAGTATAAGGACGTTGCATTTTATAGTTTCCAGGGCTGAAGAGGGCCAGAATTAATCAGAGCAGGTTTCGTGTTGTTCGGAGGGGGGCCAGCGTTGCGGGGAGGGTACCCATTGCGAGCTTGTCAAACCTTGTTTTTGCTTTTCCAAGCCACAGTAGTAAATTTGCTGCTTCCGAAAGGAGTTAGTACTGGCAAAAGCTTTGGCATTCGGCAATTTAAAATGTGTGTGTGTTTTTGTGGGGGTATTTTAGTATTATTATTATTATGTTATTATTATTGTTTTGGTCCGGAAAGCGAAGGCTTTAATCAGAGGGGGTCTTGGAAAAAGTAAGGGGTCTTTTGACCAAACCTTGGTATCGGCTGGCAGTCGGCTGGGAACACAAAGGGCGTCTTTAACCAGAGACGAGCTATTTGTCAATCATGCGCCGACATAAGTGTTTTGTTGGTTAAGCTTTTGTTTATTTGAGTTGTTGGAAGGGATAGAAAAAGCAATCGGTTGGGTTTTGATGGTTTTTGTATGTGTGTGTGTGTGTGTTTTAAAGGAACACCAATTCTTTGGATGGCGCTTATTTCTTGGATCCGAGACTAAACGAAAACTACTCCATGTTGTGAGATGGTGTTAGGGTTGCCGGCATGGTGGCATAGCGTGCTTGTCTTTGGGTGTGGTTGATCGTTCTGGGTATCTGTTTATCTCCGGATCAGATGCTGTGCCAGGAGTACATGGACACAAGCATCGACGAGTTTGTGACACTTGGTGATAGTTGTCCGCGTTGATTTATGTTTGCTTTCCCACATATCATACAGGGCCTCTTGTCGTGGTGTTTGTTTGTTTTTTTGTGGAGATCACCTTTGGGATCATGGTACGAGGTATCGTTCAAAATCAGGGCACGCCCACAATTGTGGTCCTTTCAGTCTTCCATCAAAGCAAGTACCCTCCAACCAGAAACTGGGAATTTCCATTGAAACAAGAACCCTCCAACCAGAAACTGAGAATTTCCATTGAAACAAGTACCCTCCAACCAGAAACTGGGAATTTCCATCAACACAAGACCCTCCAACCAGAAACTGAGAATTGCGAGGAGTTGAGCCACAATCCAAACCAGGGTAGATGAAGGTCGGTTAGTAAGGGACAATCCCCTTGCCAGAAATAGCTGCGTCCGCCTTCTTAGTTCTTGAAGCGTGGTTCTGGGGATTGACCATTTTAACACCCGACTCAATTCGGAACAAGCACCCTCCAACCAGAAGCTCTTTTTTTGGCCCATTGAAACAAGTAGTTACTCTCCCCACAGAAAGCTGGGACTTGCGTGGACTTCGGAGGAAAGGATGCAAGCAGTCCGAGGGCCATTTCCCCATGGTGCGGCAGCTGCAAGAGGCGATGGTTCGGATCGTGGTGAGCGCCTTGTTCGGCCAGAACGCCGACGAAGAGCGTGGGTTGGTTGAAACCGAAGCCGAATGAACGTATAACCTGAAAGGACGCCTGAACTTTTGCATTTTGCCAAGGGATGTTAGGACTTCAACTTTTGGCCAACTGCGGGGTTTTCCGTGTTAAACCACTAAAAGTCAAAAGCTTTTCGCAGGGGAGCAGAAAGCAATCGAGTGAAAGTGCATGTTCCTCTGGCAGAGATCCGCAACCAGGCTTCATGGTATTTGGACAGGTACAGTTTTGTCTTGCTTCGTTCGAGATCAACCCGAAAGATCTTTCTGCCCGTTACGTGTTTTCCGTTCCACGTTTCCGCAATAAGATTAGAGGTCCCGCCATTTTGATCCACCTAGTCAGCACACAATGTGGATTTGTCTTTAAATAGGGTGGGCCCCTGAAATATGTGGCCATGGGGCATAATAACCTATGGCTCTATTTTGGGGTGGATGAACATCCATTTGCCACCTATGTTGATGTTCACCAGAATTTACAAGGGGTTTTGACCCACAGCCATGTAAGTGTGGCTCAAAATTCAAGAGCTAGGATTACGCAGGTTTTAGTCTTTGGTGCCATGTACCAAGGGCCCATTTTGGTACATCTATTTGAGCCACAGCCATGTGGTTTCATGTTTTTTTTCCCTTAAAATTTGACCCCAAAAGACGACTGCCCTCCCAAAAAGACCAACCGCCAATCGCGCACAAAAAACGCCGACCAATGCGGTCAGGAGGAAGTGGATCAGCTGATTCTCAACCTGCGGGCATGGGCAAAGGGACTGCTATCTGCACCACTGACCCTTGCCAAAGAACCCACATTTTGTTTATGTAACATTGTTATTTGTTGTCTTTTTTACTTTAAAACAAGAAGTGTTTTGTTCTTTTTGCTTGAAAGATCCAGCTGCTCCATGCAGGACCTTCGTTCCTTGGTCGGCGGCCTCGCGCGCCCTACGCGCGCGAAAACGGGTGGAGGACACCTTGCGCAACTGGATCTCGAGGAGCAAGGAGGATGGCACGCTGCTCTCGCAGCTGCTCCTTTGTTGCATTTTGCTCGGATGTTAGGACTTTAACTTTTTGCCAACTAACGGGTTTTCCATTAAACCACTAAAAGTTAAACTTTTCGCAGGGGAGCAGAAAGCAACCGAGGCTCTATGCCAAGGACGAGGACCGGACTTGGGGTTGATCAATCTTCCGTGAAAGGGCCGTGACCATTTTGTTAACTGTTCCCATGCGGGAAATAGCATCGTTTTAAGTGGTTTCCCCAATGGTCATCCCAGGAAGAATTCCCTTTTGATGAACCCCTATGTCTTTTAAAGACGCCCCATGGATACCCAAACAAAAACAAGGGAATCGGTTTTTCTTTTTTTCCGGCCCCGCAGAGCGCTTCTGTGAGGATCGAGCCGTACCGGAGCCGTTTTAAATTTGTGCCATGTTGCAAGGCTTTTGACGTCAAAACAGATTTTGTTTGTTTCTAAGAAATGTTTTGTCTACAACAGACACTTCCATTCGCTAAAGAAGAATATGTGTGTTTTCCCTTCTTGGGTTTGAAGGAACTCTATGACTGCTGGAAATAGTGTTTCTTTTTTCAAGTGGGCTTAAGCGAGTGGAAAGACTCGTCATATCATACTTTAGGTGTTGCGGGAAGTTTAGAGATGGCGGTTGATGAAGCTGAATGCTTGGTTTGTCAATCGTGAGGACGGCAGTACGCTATCCATGGAGGAGGTCATTGATAACGTCTTCACCCTTGCGTTCGCAGGAACTGATACCACGGCCAGCTCTTTGTCATCTGCTTTCTTGAGGCAAGAGCTTGGTGTGAGTGGACCGGGCGCATTTCTGTTTGAGTTCTAATTCGACCATGTTGCCTCTCCCCTTTTTATGCCGTTTGAAGGTTTACATACAAGGGACAGAAGTATTCATTTGGGACAACTTCTGGCAAAGCGCAGGAGGATTGAGACCTCACCCCTAGTGACTCCTAATGATGTTTTCGCATCATAGCGCGTTTTCCATTTGAAGCGTGATGGTGTGTTTGGTGTTCGTTCCTCGATCGTGCCATGGGCATGTCGCACTTGATTGTTTTACAAAATTTGTTTTCGAGGAACATATCATCAGTTCGCAGCTGATCATACGAAGGATCAACGCTTCATTCGGTGGTTTGAGGGTTTGCCTTGGGACGGCCGTGCGTCTTGTTTGCTCACGTGTTGTGGACGAAGTTTCGCTTCAAGTGCAACGCAAGGGATGGTTTTGACACTGGACGCAACACCAACGTTTGGGGTGGTTGTAACAGGAAACCCCAAGGAAACCACTCATTCTTTAGGTCGCCCGATTTTGAGAGAAACCACAAAAGTAACAAATTTGCTGTGGTAGTTCAACATGTGAACAACTTTTGTTCAGCCATCTTGGTTGCATCATGGTAGCAAATTGTGTCGTGTGTGTGTGTGTGAGTTTGTATGTGCCAGAACATGCGCTCCCACTAGTGCGGAACGAGTTTTCAAGCTTCCAGAGGAGAGTTCCGACTTCAAAGACGTTGTTTGCCTGGAATTCAATTAACATCCTTCAAGTTGTTCAGTTTCATGGGTTGAGTCACTTTTGGGGCTGGGCCATTTTGAGCACCAAAAGTTCGGTGACTTTCTTTTGGACCGAAATCATGGGAGGCTGTCGCGAGATGTGGCGCTGCAAGCAGAGCTGCGGGCCGCTGTAGCAGAAGGCGACCCCGGCGACTCCTTGGGCGCCTTCCTGGGAGAGGCAGGGGGGGGGGGTGGTGGGGGGTTGGTGGGGGGGGTGGTGGGGGGGTTGGGGGTCGGTGTGGGGGGGGGGTTGGGGGTCGGTGTGGGGGGGGGTCAAGATTTAGTACGAGGAAACCAACCACCAGTTGAAAACCAAGAGGAGAATGGCTGGTTACCTACTATAGTGGTATCTGGGATGCACTGGGAGGACTTACCCGGACCCTCAAGCTACCCTTCCATGTGCTTAAGAACATGTTCGTTTTTGCCCTGTTGGGGGTCTTAAGCAAATGCAAGTACCCCCCGAAAGATTTGGAGATTGCCCATTCCTCCCCCAATTTGCGAGGGTAGTTTTTGCGGCCCGGGAGTCGGGAGGCCAAGAGAAAGCCACGGCATGCGCTGCCGAATTTGAAGTCAGACTTGGTTGGTAAGAATGCTAACGTCCACAGGACGCTTGGGCCTCACCTTTGCAGCGTGCAAGTATTTCATCCTCACTCGCTGAGTTCGACTTAGAACTTTCTGGGCTTCCATTTTCGATGAAAACAAAAAAGCGAGCTCCAGGTGACGTTTTTGGCCAGTCCACTCCTTCGGATGTGAGTCCTCCGATTTTCCCCCCGAGCAAAGTCAACCCCCATTAACCGCACCAAGCGATTTGCAAAAACGCCGATCTCCGAAACTCCGAGGTGCTGAAGGACAACCCGCCGGCGCCTTTCGCCATGCGCCTGGCCCCTTGGGACCCAACTTGCTCGCGTTGGATCCCGTTTCGAGCGAGCACAACTGTGTGTGGTTCCCTTTTTTCAGGGTTTGGACCCCACAAAATGGATTGATTGGTTTTCCTGTTGGTTTTTGTTGAAATGCCATAACCAAAAGTAGCCTCAAAAAAAGACAGCCCCAACTTTTTTACGATAGCCTGGATGGTTATGGGACAAAGCGTTTGATTAAACTCAGTAGCCAACGAATTACACTTTTGGCACTTGGGTTAATAGCCACACAGCCACCAACGCAGGTTCTTCCCCTACACCCCAAAGGATATTTTCCTGTCAAAAGAAGTTGAGGGAGGGTACAGTGCGTGGCGGTTTTTGTTTGGCTGTTCTGTTGTGTTTTGTTCTGGACTTGCTAGTACGTTCTCCCGAAGCCAAGCACACATGAAGTGATGGACTGGATGCCCTTTGCGCACGCCTTCTTATAATTGCGGATAAAAGGTTCAGGCTTCTGGGACAATCCATCACTCAAGTGCGATTGTGGATCACAGAAAGAAAGCCAAGCCAGATTTGGAGTGATCACTTTGGAGGTGTCTCTCCTCTATTCAGCAATGGTCTGTCTCAAAATGGGGAACCCCCTTTTGGATGGATTTATAGGGGGTCAAAAGATGGCACACAAGCAGCCACACGTGTGCCAGCATTCGTGAGTTTAGCCGTTTTTTCGCGCGCCCACGGAGCTGGAACTGATTTGGGAACCCAAGCATGCACGACCGCCGAACTCTTTCAGCAGTATGCAGTGATGAAATTGGCCGCGGCCGCTTTGGCGCTTGGGTCTCTATGAGTCGCCTACCCCGTTGCATAAATCTCCCTTCCATGCCCCCTCCTCTGTCGGAAAGTTGTTTTCTGGGGCCAATGTGCGCGTTGCTTGTGTTAAGGAGAAGTGTTTTTCTCGCGATGTATTGTCATCATGAGGGGAGCTCGGGATCCGTGCTTGCATGGCCAACTTTCCCTCCACAAAAAGATGGATTTGGGCCCGGCAACCGGGATCAGAACAAGCTGCCACGATAAGAAGGCACATCCAACGCACGCTTAGTGCGTGCCATCTTAGTCACGACGCCAAATCATAAAGGATTTGGCTGGTATGCCATCTGTGCATGTGCCATCAAACTGTGACCCCCCTATAACCGGAAGCTAGAAGGAAGACAACCACCTGTCCCTAATTTTCAGAAGCACCCGTGCATTTTTCAGACGAGCTGACCAGGGCTGTGGGAAATTGTAGAAATTTGTGCGGATAACATGCCCCAGCACAGAAAGGCGTGTTGATTTGGTGGCCCACGAGTGACAAATTGGCAGTGCCCAGGGGGTCCCTGTATTCACTGTTTGGTGGTTTTGAACATCACCTTTTTCACCCATGGGTTACTTCCAGTAGGGATGAGGACCAGCAAAAACTGTGGTTGTCCTGTTGTTTTCCTTTAACTGGGGTTCCCTATTGTGAGAACCCCACATACTGTGGATGGACGAAGTCCTGCACCCTAAAAAGCCCTGGAATGACGATGCCCCTACCAACCAACAATGGCTTCCCATGGCTTCAAAGTGGTGTGAGTTGGATTGCGTCCATCCATCCCTCCGTCCGTCCGTCCGTCCATCCATCCATTGGGATAACCAAAAATATTTGATATGTCCCACATGTTTGAAAAGTTACCCATGGTCATGGCCATTTTGGGACCCTCACGGAAGATTGATCAACCTCCATTTCGGGAATGTCAGGTGAAGGAGCCTGTAAGCTTCTCCGGCGGGGAAGTTCCCAGTGGCTGGCTTGTGGTCTACGGCTTCGCCGGGCGCTGCGCCGAAGCCAAGGCGGCGATTCCTTTTGCCGGTCACGTCCCTTTGCCGGAATGTCTGGTTTGGATCCCTTGGGAGCAGGGTCCCCATTACCTTTGTTTCGCGGTTTTCTAGGGCCTGAGTCCAAGCATTCAACCGTCATTATTTTCCGAAACTTGCCGTTCTTTCAGGGTTTCTGGAGGTTTAGGAAGAAGGATTCCTGGAAAGAATGGGGAAGGTGCCCCCAAAAAAAACAGCAGTGGTGTTCCTTTTTTGTGCGTTTCCCTCGTCCACATGGAACCTGACATCTTGGGGTTCTGGAAGACTATTCTCCTCTTACAGGGACCCTGTTGTGGGTTCCATGTTAGTGGACAGGGTAAACAACCCCCAAGACTTAAAACGGTGACCCTCGGTTATGACAAATCACTTGGGCATTGACGAACTCCTGCAGTTGGATGGACAATCTGATTTTGCATCTTAGGGCCAGAGCATCTGCTGCGAAGTGGATTTGAATTGAATCTTGCGAGCCATTTCTCTGGCGCGAAGCGATTTTCGTTTAGCTCCACACCCCCAGCCCCACACCCCCCCCACCCACACCCACACACCCCCCCACACCCCCCCCCACACCCCCCCACCCTCCCACCCCCCCACTTCCTGAGTTCACGGACTTTCGTCACTTGAGCTTGGACCATTTGGGCGACAAACGAAACCTGCGGCTTTTCTCGGGCCAGCAGCTCCTTGGGAAAGTGAGTGGTTTAATGGGAGGGCCATCTCCAAACTGAACCGACACGGGTGCGGGTCAAAATGAAACCACCAGCGGACCACTGAACCATATGGGTGCGGGTCAAAATGATTCACCACCAGGAATTGGACCGCCTGGTTTAGTCATGGGTTCCATGTACCAGGGCAACCCATTTTGGGGTTACCCTATTTATGACCCACAGCCATATCATGGTTTCCACGGGACGTGAGCAGATCCGGTGCCGCCCCAACTTTGGCCCGGCCAACATGACTCCATACCATCGCCTCACGGAGCACACTGAGAGATCTCAAGCGATGTTAAAGAATCTGGATCGTTTGTTCTCTACAAGAGGTTCTGTTCTCCCCGCTCCGTTCGGAGTCAGCCGCTGAGCTGCTCAGCCAAAAAATCGTCTCCCCGCAGGACTCGCAGGACTCGCAGGAGCTCTCCTCGAACCCCGCCTTCGGCGGGGGTCCCCGGCTCTGCCCCGGGCGGTTCTTGGCCACGGAAGCGGCGAAGCGGCTGATGCAGGCGGGGGGGTGGGGTGGGGTGGTGTGGGGTGGGGCGGGGTGGGGCGGGGTGGGGCGGGGTGGGGTGGAGGTAACGTGGGTTGCACCTCGCATGGGTGTCCTTCTTTTTGTAGGCTTGGATAGAAAATAGATGGGTCAGCCACTGGTTGACGATGGGTTTCATGCCAATCTGCCAGGGACGCCCGTGGATTTGTGCTTTCAGCAGGTCCACATGGCTCGCTTTCTGAGCCAGGTGGGCGTATAGCTGGGAAGTAGATTGGAGATGCCCTCGGTTTGGGACGAAAGTCATCCCCTTGACCGAATGGGAATTGTGCCATCAAAAAAAGAAAACCTAAAAAACAAATCCCCGCATTCCCTGAGTTTACACCCCAAGGACGTTGATGTTTTTGGACCTCCTCTACACGAGTGGGGCTTTATTTGGGGCGAACCCATCCCCTTTGGGTTGGTTTTAAAGAGAAACTGAACGGAAGACAACTGTTTGACGAACCCCACATTAATGAGATGAGCCCTCACACGTCGAATTTCTAGTTTCCGTTTTCCCCCAGGTAGACTTCAACCCGTGCCTGCTTGTGATCATCTTTGGGTTTCAGTCTACCTTGCAGACAATTAAGCAAAGGCTCATGGGTATGTGTTTCTCTTTCAGAGTGCCTTGACTATTTGAAACGGGGACGCCAGTTCAGACCAAGCTTTGTTTACGTTTCGTTGTGAGTGTGTAGTTTGCGGCTGTTGGCTTTTGTTTGTAAGTGCACTTGTTGCTTCTGGAGTTGCTGCTGGTTTTTTTTTTTTTTTTGTTATTGCCTGGTTTGCCTCTCGGGCCTTGTATGTTTGACTTTCTGCCGTTATGATTCACATTATTGCTCTTCACCTCTTACTGCTCGTCAACCCAGGTCCTTTCGGCCTGCAAGAAGCGACCTTTGCACCACGATGAATTGCACATATTCCGACGTGTTGAACCCATGTAAGGCAACAGCTGCACTTAAAAGGTATAAAACTTGTATGGAAGAGTGCCCAGCCGCAACCATGGCAACAATCGATCTCATCAAAGTGAAGCTCCTGGCTGCGTTTCAAGGCGATCCCTAATCCCTGCCTCGGATTCCGCGGTTGAACATCTAAAGGGCCCCAACTTCTGGAGCCTCGCCTCCCATCGAAATCGAGCCGAGGCTGTCCTGGGCCCAGAGGGCTTCACTTGGCAGCTGAAGGACACGGGAAGCGGTTTTGGTTTCCGGTTGGTATGGACCACGATCCGTGTGGTACCCCGAATTCACACGGAATATTGGGTGTGGCTCAGAATTAAACAGGAGGGGTTACGCAGGTTTTGGTCGATGTGTCCACTTACCAGAGTTCCATTGTGGTACCAGTTTTTTGAGCCACAGCCATATATTTGTCCTCTGGGATTGTAACATCAACTTAAGGCCGGCCCATTTCAGGAGGTTCCTTTTGGTGAGCGATGTTTACGGGCAACATAGCACCGGAGCCCTGCTTTTGGGGTCAGGGCTCCACCCCTTCTCACAGAAATCAGAGGGCAACCTGGGGTGACCCTAGAAATGGCAGTTTTTTTCTTTCAGCTCCCTCTAAACCAAGCCAAAGGTAACGATCCAAAGCACCTAAGAAGCTGGTCCTTCGCTGGCGCAGGAGGGGCAGGACCTGCGTCAGCGCTACATCCCGGGCTTCTTCCCCGCCGATGGCTTGCTGATGAAAGTGCAGTAATCTGAGCGTGGGCGGGTGTATCGTGAGCTCACATGTCTTTGGTGCATTTGCTTGGATGTTAGGACTTTAACTTTTTGCCAACTAAAATGGATTTTCCATTAAACCACTAAAAGTTAAACTTTTAGCGGGGGAGCAGAACGCCACCGAGATGTGACCTGGTTCTCAGGTGTGGAAAGTCAACCGGTTTTGGGACTGAACCCAGGGATCTTGAAACAGAAAGCCGCACGTTGAATGGTTTGGGGGTCATTCCAACTCATGCCCTGAGAACCAGGAAGCTGAAGGCTGAAGGTCCCACTCGGGATCCCTTCTTTGGTGAGCTTCTGACAGCCACGGTTTTCAGATTTCGGGTGGTGTTGCGGAAGATGTGCAAGCAATCCACGCGCGGGCTTGCGCATCCATCCAAGGGCGGCGGCTGTTTTTTGTTGCGGAATTCCTGGAGCCCTGACCTCCTTCAGCCCTGGGGCTCCTCTCTTAGAGGGGCCTTGTCGCGCATCCGTTTTGAAGATGCGCCGCTTCCCCTTGGAAGCTGGGCCGGATCTCAGGTCGCGGGCGAAGCTTCTAGCCTGCCCGGCCGCAGGTCGCCTGGGGCGAAAGACAAAAGCCGCCTTTCGATGCCAGCGGTGACAGCGGTGGCATCTTTCGGAAGACGTGAAATGGTGGGTCAAAATTAAACCAAGGGACAACAGGTTTTAGTCCATGTCTCCATTTACCAGGGTGCCATTTTCGGGTACCTATTTTTGACCCACTGCCAAATCGTGGAATCGGGGCTGGAGAGTTGCCAATCGCATTTTTTCCTCATATGACGATAGGACTGGCTTCGAAGTACCGCACCCCTTTCTAGTTATAATCCTTTGATGCATGTTGCTTGGATGTTAGGACTTTAACTTTTTGCCAACTAATGTTTTTGTTTTGTTTTTCCCCATTAACACACTAAAAGTTAAACTTTTAGCAGCGGAGCAGAATTACTTGGGCACTTATAACATGATACACTCATCACACGAGACATGGTGATGTCAGTGTGAGTGAGTGGCAATCTGCTTATAATCTGGGGGACGGACGTCATGCCGGTGTGTTGTTCTTAACGAAGCTTGTTGGTCACTGGCCTACCGCACCGCGCCGCTGTTTGCCTTTCAAGCTGGTATCTATTCACATGTGTATTGGTCGATGTACCTTTACTCTCAGCCCCCAAAAAAATGTTGTGTGCAGCTTCTTTAGCTACCAGAAAGCCTTAGCTGTAAGGGAGCCAGCCAAAAAACGAGGTGAGCAAGCTGAAGCGTCCAGCCGGAGGATGGCTACGGGCACATCTGACTTTCATTTCGCAGCATCCAAAAAGCCACGCAATGAATCCGGCCTTGAAGCGGCAGTTCGAGGCGCGTGCTTAGGTGCTTAGGTGCTTAGGTGCAGCGTGCCGGTCTGCACCCTGGGAGGGTGAGATATCTGAAAACGACCGTGTTCTTAGGCCAGGTGAGTTGTACCTAGGAGGAAAGGATGTTCATATATGGCGATGAAATTGGATTTGAAGACCACCTCCAAAGTGGTTGGTCATGAATTCCCACTTAATAATGTCCCCCAGTGGGTTCCCAATTAAGATTCACACCCAATATGTGTGATTTTATGAAGGTCTTGCCCGTAGTGATTTGAGCTTCCTTTGGAGCTCATCACGTCACGGGCGTAATCCTTTGGCCGCTCCGGATCTTTTTTTCTCGGGTGTTGGAGTGAGGCGATTTCTTGCTGGTGTGATAGGAAGCGAAGCCTTCGTCCGGATGTTTGAACCGTTCGGGGATTCCCAAAGAAAGGACACCATCTCGGGGATGGTTTTCTCGGGACCATTCCATGTCGCATTCGATGGGCTGAGCGCAGGAGTTAGACGACCCCGTGAGAACATCGCGATCTTCACCTCCGGGGCATTTTTTTCTGATTTTCATTCAGGGGGTCACACGTCAAGTTTCGCTGTGGTGGTCAAAACCGTTTTGGGATCCCATTTTGGTGGGTAGGTGAGTTCACCGTCCATTTTAGGTTGCCTATTTTGGTGCTTGGATTGGGTCCCGTTCACTGGGGGCTAACCGATTTGGATGTTGACCCATGGCCATTGGTTTTGATTGCAACAAGGCCCAAGGACTTACATGTAGCATTTGCAGAGGTCCAGTCTGAACGAGAGGGCCTTTAACAGGCAGCGACTGACAAAAACGCCATGATCTTAAAACGGGGGACACATGGGTGTGGGTCAAAATTAAACCAGCAGGAATTGGACCGCAGGTTTGAGTCCATGTTTCCATGCTAAGGTTCCATTTTGGGCGCCGATTTTTGACCCACAGCCATGTGTTTGACAACCCCTGCCCGCATCTCACGGATTTTGTAAAAAGCTTGGAGGCCGCAGCTGCCGTTGACAAGGCGGTGGAGAAGCAGAAAGCAGTAGCTCGGAACGGGTGTGTGTCTTTTCTCGCCCCCTGAGCTCATGGACATAAAAACGTTTTGGGAAGACCACGCTAGTGGCAAAGAAGCAGCTGGGGACGGTTTTTGGCCAGTCCACTCAGTAAGCGCCAAGGGACTCTCGGCGAAACATGGGCTGGGTGGGGTTTTCCCCAAAGGTCCAAAGCCCGGGAAGAGGCGGTTGACGGAGACGTCCACGTGTGCAAAGGCCTTCCTTCCTGTTTCTCAGAGGCACCAACTTCACTTCGACGGTCGCTTCCAAACGCCCAGGGAGGTGTACTCAGAAGCAGTTTCAAGGCGGGCCAGCTTGAAACCTCCCTGAGAAATGGCACTATTGTTGATCAGCTTGGTGTGCGCCCTTCTGCTCCAGTTAGATTCAGCAAGCATAGGTGTCCTTTTTTTTTTGGTAGAAAGATGAAGCTACACTCAACAAGCTATAGGGGTCCTTTTCGGTCGTTTTGGTCAAAAAAATAGATGGCGTTTTCGGTTCCTGGTTTACCTGGAGTTGTTTTTGTTTTTTTAATTATTATTTTCTTCTTAGTCATCTAGGAGGGAAACCCGAATCTCTTCGCCTTTTAACTTCGACACCGATTTCAAGCAGCTCCCAGTCTCGCCGGTGGTCGGGATTTTTGTTTGCTGAGCTGAATCGCCAAATGCCGCGCGCGCGCTTCGCCGAGCCGGGATCGATTCCCTCCATGTGAAGCGAGTCGTTGTGAGCCCTTGGTTAAAAAGAGGATCTATCACTACTGGACATATTAGTTGTTTTTTCTTCTTCTTCTTTTTCTTTTTTTGTTTTGTTCTTTCTTCTTTTTTTGTGTCTTCTTCTTTTTCTTCTTTTTTCAGGGGGCCTGAAGCAAATGGAAGATGTCGTTTTAATGTATGGGGGTTGATCTAGCTCTTCCGCGCGTATGGCCCCGAGATGGCCACGGCCATGGGATAGTTTTGCAGCCAAGTGGTGAAAGTCGATTCTTGCAACTTGGTTTCCCGAATGGTCACCCCATGTGTTGTGGATTGATCAACCCCCCATGGTATTCATATCAAATCCCAACCGCAAGTAGCTGCCGGGGTTTGGCCCGAACGAATTCCTGCGGGCAGCTCTGGTATCCAAGGATTCAAGTCGGCTTCATCCATCGGAGCCTCCCTTTCATACCCTTTCACAATGAGTTTCCTGGCAGGTGGGGAGGGGTCACATATCATTTATGTGAACCCTTTGAAATCTGATTTCTGGTGAGGCAACAGCTGAGGTACAGTTGATGGACAAAATGCACCAGGTGGTAGATGGCTTATCCCAATATAGGTTTTATTGCAGAATTTTGTCCCGCAGCAACATGTGCATTGTCTAAACGCCGTAAACAAGCTCGGGGTCATCCTGGGCAACCAATACTGTGCCCCAGTCACGGATCTCCGCCCAAGGACAAGCCTTTGCCCGAGTTGGCTGGGTCAAAGAGCTTCGCCAGGAACTTGATCAATATTCCATGGTTCTTGGCCCCCAATTGGGCCATGACAAAGTCTCTTTCCACCGTGTGATGGATTTATTTGTTTTGGAAGAAGTGTTTCATCTTCAGGATACCATGTTTTTGTTTTCATTTTTTTTAATGGTTTTTTGGAAGAATTGGTGGTTTGGATTGGTTGGGATTTGAACCTCTGGCTCCTGAGGTTTGTTTTTGAAACTTTTCTTTAGCCAAACCGCCGGGCTCCAAACCACCAAACAAGAGGAAGCTGAAATGGTCTTGGCCATGTCTGTGGGGAACTGTTCCATGTAATATAATATGATTATATCTATATATACATATACTACGCATAATATAATGTTGATATATTAATATACAAAATATAGTATTATAATATATATATATATATATACATAATACAATGTATATATATATATATACAGAATCATATACATATATATGTATATGTGATATAATATATGCTATGATACATATATATATATATATATGAAGAACGTGTTGCCTTGGTTTTCCCACCAATTAATGATCATCTAATGTTTTTGTTTTTTTTTTTAACGGACCTTTTGACCGCCATGAGGCACGAGGCCGCGAGATGGGCACCGTGCTGGTGCCGCCGGCGCTGGTTTTTGGGGGCGATATCTAGATCTTCGGGGCCATCTGGCGGCTCAAAATGAACGAGTGGATGGCCCAAAAAAGGACACCCCCGCCCAATTGGATCCCTCATTAAAGAGACACCACAAACTGTGGGTTTTTGTGGTAGCTAGGTTCCCCGGTTAGGTGCCCTTCTTACTGTTTCCAGTTGGTTGAGAGGGTTTCTGTTGGTAAAATTATAATACAGATAAAAGTTGATACCCTTAGTCAAACCTCTCTACTGGAGGACTTAGTTAAAGAGCTGGGGTGACGCAGGTTTTAGTCTTTGGTCCCATTTACCAAGGTGCCATTTTGGGACATGTTGTTGCGCCACAGCCATCTTGGAATTAGACGGGCTTGTGAACTTCCATTTGCTGAAATGAATATGCTGTTTTCCCCTGTTGGTGTTCAAGAGAAACTATCACTACTGGGAATATGTTGTTGTTGTTTTTGCCGCGGAGACTTTATTAAGCAATATTAAGCATATGGAGTTGAACTTACAAGAAAACCGGAGGGGGGGCAACATCCTGAACTTACTACTTACATCCT